CACTTTGGCATTGACACTCTCGGTCGTGGAAGAGAAGGCAGTCTCGGTCTCGGTAGGCTAATCGACGGAAACCGTACTTTTGGCAGAGAAGGCAGTCTCGGTGTCCACAGAGATTCAAACCACGGAAGGGAAGGCGTCGAATCCGGCCTCAACCGCTCCCCGCAGTGCGGACAATCCGGCGGCAGCGTCTGCCAGGCCGCATACTGGACAAATCCGTGTAACGCTAATCCTGCAATGAACTCCCTGATCGCCAAGTAGAGGTGAATAACACTTTCTCCCTGTCAGCCCCGCTTCTTCACAGCATCCATACTTTCACCCTCCACATGCATATCCACGTTTAACACAAAAGACTCGAAACTTACAAATTCACCAGCAACGGAATAGTAGCATAAGCAGCCAACATCCCCAAAGCGCCATTGAGCTCTCGATCTCTGGTAGCAGTCGTCGTATGCAGCCACGTCAGGACCAAAATCGCAAATAAACCCCCCGCGAGCGACACGTCGAGAAAGAAAATCAGAAAGCCCGTCTCGTCCGAAGTGCACGATCGGTCTCTTTTCTTCTGTCTTGTTTGCTTTCTCTTGTTCATTCTCTGTCTCCCCAGCAGGGAGGAAGATTCCCCTGGCTGGGACTCATTATCGTCACTGGTTCCGCTGGCTTGCTGCTCTTCCAGATCGGGCGTCAGTAGTCCTCGGTCGCTGCCATCATGCTCGTGATCATGTTGTACTTGTCTCGGATTGCAAGGACTGGGAATGATCAAAACTCCAAGAACAGCAGAAAAAAACAATGGAATTAAGCCGACGGCGGGAAAAGGTTTGTGGGAGAGGGCGCCGTGGGCGATGCACAGTGGGAAAGCGGGGATGAAGTTCAAGATGGTGATTGTGCGGAGAGGTCGCTGGGGGGCTGCCATTTTTGATCACATTCAGCCACCACCACGACAGAGCTGAGTGGGACAAAAAAAATCAATCAGACCGGCTGATGAAAAGCAGCAAGACACAGATAAAAGCAGAACATGTATGTACGACGCGTAAATAAAGAAAAGAAAAAGAGTGCGGTGATGGTTGAATGATGCACAGGTGGTGTGGTTGGTGGAGTGTGCGATAAGGGAAAAAAAGAGCGGGGATCGCTTATCAGTCGGTGAGTTGTAACTTGTAAGAGAGCTTGACCCAATGAGGGTTTGGGGAGTCGGATCGTGAGGTCTTGGCGCTTGGAGAAGGATTCAACACGTGATGGGATGCCCCTTTTCTTTTCTGTTTATGTTGATGAGTTTATGAAACCGTTTGGGTATGATGCTGGTACTTCAAACTGATTCTTGAGCAATCTTTTTTTTTTTAAAAAAAAAATTCTTTTTGCAAAAAGCTTGAGTCAAACTAGAGACCTTTGGCAAGCATAATATATCACCAACCGTGATATATGTGGACTGCAAGGGGCAGGAGGTGAATTTACAGTGCCAATGTCGAAGGATCCGTTTCCACAGGAACAAGAAGTTTCAGGGGTATACAACATCAAACAACCAAAGAAATCCATCTCAGTAACTTACAAAGCACATCTACATTGCGAGAACCATATGAAGTACTACTCCCAAAATCCGCATTAAGACATACAACCAGGTAAAAGAAGACATGCTTTTTGTTAGAGAAGCTTATACTTAGCAAGATTATACATCAAAATTTTCACATATGGAAAAAACCCTGACACAAGAAACGAAAGTTAAGAACACCAGGCCACCCGTGACATGATGTCTTGCAGAAAATCATGACCCCTCGTGCCATGCCAATCCTGAAAAGATCCAACCAGCCAGCTGGAAGAGTGCAAACCAAGAACCAGCCGCAGAAGCCACATCCTGTGTTGTTGAAAAGGTCAGCCTGTGTTTCACTCATACAACAAAGACCAAAAATAAAAGTAACTTACCTCCCACTTCATCGCAACATCCTGTCTCGACACCAGTCTCTCGAAGCTAGGGAACTGCAGAAACAAACTAACAAAGCACATCCCCCTCGCGCCCCCATCAGCCGAGACATCGCACTGCAAGTCCATTGACGGGATTGTTGAGATTGACAACTGGTAATCGTCCGCCGGCGCTCTGCCCAGTGCCTTGCGACGGTTTATGCCCAAGTTGATGGCTGTCATGCCGTTGGCGTTGATGAGGACCATCCTGGTGTGCCCGCTCTCCAGCGTTTGTTGGACGGTAAGAGTTGGGTCGTGGATAGCGATCCAAAGACTGGGTGAGAGAACATGGGATGAGTCTGCTCGCGCTTGGGAGGAGTTGAAGGTGAAAAAGGCCTGTGCAATCATCTGGTAGGTAGGGATGGGTGAAACCATAGACTTGGAAGAGATCAGGGATAGGGCGCGATAGCTTGTGTTCTGCCACTCGAAATCGCGAACGTCGTCATCCCATTGATCGGTGCATTGGCAGGCAACTCCCGGTATCGTGATGTTGTCGCAACTGGGCGCTTTTTCGTTGTGCCATCCGAGGAAGCACTTGGGTCTTGCGGAGACATCGAGGTTGGCTTGCGAGGTCCAGTCGGATCGTTGGAAGAGGGTTAGGGAGGGGAAGTAGACTTTGTCCTAAAGCCCATTGTTAAATTTCTCTTTTGTAACCTTACGGAGTAAAGTGCTTAAGTGTAAGGATGGTTAACAGTCTGACTGGGAACACATACCACGGTATCTCGCTCAAATGTGCTGACGTTCCGAGTTTGGTCGGGAAACCACGTAGTCCAGTAAAGTACCGGCAAGGCGAGAGTGGCTACCAAAAGGGTGATGATGGTATTCCCAAGGTTTTGGTCGCACTGTAATCGGTACCTTGGGGGGTTCACGCTGGTATTTGGTGACCGACAAATGCGGTACAGCGACAGGATAAGATAGCCTAGAACTGAGGCCACCCAAAAGACCGAGGTTGCGGTCAAGATTTTAGGGGTGAATTTGATTGAAGCAGTTGATGCCACGAGGACCGCGGCAATCACCAGCCAGCCCAGCCATCCCAAAACAAACAGTCTGACAGAGTTTCTGTGAAGAATCGCCATGTTATGTCATAGCTGAGATGTTCATGGGAGGAGTTTGTGGCACATCAAACTCAACAACACCCAGAGCCAGGAGCAGCTGCCGAGGAGGTAATAGCACGACGCGTGGCCGGTTGCAAACACCGAGGAAAGCTGAAAGGTAAGCCATCAGGCTCCAACACCATCAAGTAAGACATCCCAGCAACAAATTTCGTTTAATCCTGCAGCTAAGAGGGGCCAAGGGAGAAACGTGCGGTTCACAGAGCCTTACTGTTATTTATCATTCTCGAAAGGGAAATGCGGCCTAGAATTGTGTCACCGACCCCACTGGTGGAGGGTGGAATTTTTTGCTGATGCTACCCAATCTTTCACGGAATTCTCCGTAAGAAGCCAGCCGCTCTGTTTGCTGCAACTTTCGAACGCCTTCGAAACCCCACAAATACTATCCGCTGTGGTGGGCTGGCCCTGCGAACTTACCCAAGCTGCCGGGTATGACAGTGCAACTGTGCGAGAAAGCGCTAGGGAACTCGTACGGTAGGTTTCCGTCGTTGCATGTTGGATATTGTGGTGTTTTCGTGCTCGCAGACGCCGGTGGCGCTTACCTCGTTGCAGTGATGCGGCTGAGTTTTGCAAAATCTTCGAACCGCTGATGTCAGCCCGAGACTTATCCACATTGTAATTATTTGTGAAAATGGGGACTTTAAGTATCAGGTATCTCACCTTCCCACGAAGTGTCAGCGAAAGTGGTCGTCTGTAACACGCCATCAGTGATCTCCTGTTATTTGTGATCCCTCTTCCCGCCTGCTTCCCGCTGTCAACCTTTTCACCTGGTCCCTTCATCCACGCCATTCTCTTGATCTCATCTGCAATAGAGACACCAGAGCACCAGCCATGGGTACCGCTTTCGTTACCGTTCTTCTCCTGGTGTTCCTCTGCGCCAGCGTCCAGGCGCAGAGTATCTTCATCAACCAGGTCCCTGAGTACTCGCAACTTCAGGCTTGCGCCCTAGGCCCCGTCAGCCAAATTGTCCGCGACATGGTCTCCGGCTGCGGTGACGGTGGCAGAACAACGTCGTACGACTGCTTCTGCGTCTCAAGTTCCACCAAATTCGAGAGTATCATCAGCAAAGCTGTTGCCACCAAGTGCATGCCGACCACGACAGATGGCGCTCCCTCCGCTCTCGCGGTATTTGACAGCTACTGCCACCTTGGCGGCCCACTTGTTTCTGTTCCCACACCGACTTCAGTTCTGTCCTCGCAGGTGTCCTCTCCTCCAAGTAAGAGACCGTTTTCGAGTACGGATCGTCCCATTGCACCCCCAACACCCGTCTCTCTTCTTCCTCCTTGTCTTAAAGTCCTCTCCCAGTGAGGCCAATTGAGCACTGACACCGGGGTGCTCGCAGATACCACTATTGTAGCCATTGGCATACCAATCCAAACCACCGATGCTGTCTCTACCGAGTCGATACAAAGCAGTTCCAGGCTTCTTCCGACCCCAACTCGACCCCAACTGGCGCCCATACAATCAGATAGTGTTGCGGTACCTACCCGGAACCTATCTGGGTACATGTGGCTTCCCGTGTGGACTGGAGTTGTGTACTTTATGTTGTTCTATTGACGATGCGTTACACTTTGTCGGACGCTTCGATCGATCATTCAGGATACTCGAACGGCTTGTTTCTTTTAGATTTCATTGATTCTACTTTACTAAAGAATGTTAGCCTAGAACTTGTAATGTAGTGTGTAGGTGGTGTAAGATTGCAGTCAAGTTATGAGAGAATCGTCAAGATGTTGGTTCAGGTGTAGGCTATCGTAGCCACCCAAGTCGGAACTCAAGCTAGGTACAACAGAGATTTGTAGAATCCTTGTTATGAAGATGTGTACGTTATTAGAGTGTTTGAGTTGCAAACAAAAGAAACAGACGCTCCGACCTATTGAGGTACCAGTGGGCCCGACAGGGTACCCTGGTCTTTTCAGGAGGGAGGAAGAGGCAAAAAGATGTAGATGCCCAATAACAGGATTGAACTGTTGACCTTCGCATGACTCGATATACTTTGGTGAGTATATTAGTACGACGCTCTAACCAGCTGAGCTAATCGGGCTGACTTGAGTTGCTGAAAGAATTGGTACAGACCCTCTTGTACTAAGAACGCAAGTAACTGCACTGCAAGGCAACAATTGTCAAATACAGAGGCCAAAGTGAGAGTGTCTTGTTCAAATGCTACATGGATCAACATGCTAAAATCAAAGGATCATAAAGTTAGAACTTACTTCAAAAACTAAAGAAAGTTTTCGCAGCCCGAAGAACCATGGCCAAAAGGCAAGGAGAGTAACCGTGCGCAAAAGTTCATGTACATGACATGTGACAAGAATGGGATCCGAACTCACGCCCTTTTCGAGACCAGCAGGATTCTTCATCTTGTCATCTTCGATATCGCCCAGATCAATGCCATGTTAGAGTGAGAGGGTTGCATGCGAATAACAGTCGTCAATGATCCTGTCATACTCAATTATTAGACGTAAATAGTCCTGGTAGAAGCTTCAATGCATCGCAAAATCGGCCTCAGTGACCCCCAGGAGTATCTCCACGCAAGTATGAGGGGAATAGATGGTCTGGACCACTCCCTATTCGTGGAACTCTGGCATACAATGGCGTAGTAACATATTGGCGACAGCACTCTGACTTCTTGAAGACGATCCGATCAAGTAAGCCCTCAGAGGCGACATCAATAGGCGCCTGAAGTATGAAGGAAGCTGTGGTCTGATCGCATCTCAGATGCTTCTTCAGTGCAATCGGAGCGATTCGTTGAGATGTGTCCCCTGACTTTGGGTCGATCTGGGATCGCAAGTCGCTTCGATCTTTGATATCGTGATTGTAGACTTCTAAGGTGTTTGTTTGGATTTGGGTCGATTTGGGTATTTCGGGGTGTGAGCGTCAGGGGAAGTTCAGACGGACTTCGCGAAAATCGAAAATTGTTATGTGACGCCAACTGTCTGTTATCTTCCATCTTAGTATAAACTATCTTACTATAATCTTCTTCAACCAACCCTTTAGAACACATGGGTCACCTTACCTGTAGCCCGGGTCTTTCCATTTGTTGCCTAACTTCAAGCCTGAAAAGGTTGACTGGGAGGCTGTGGCTTCGAAGGTTGATGCACTCGGCCTCTCGCGTGGAGGGGAGTCTACATTCAGCTTACCGTCGGCACGAGACTAAGAAGAAGTCTTGGAGGGTGTTGGAATGCCCATAAAGTGGACTGAAGGTAAGCAGATGAAGGGTCCAGAGCTGTAGCAGAACTCTCGCTGCTATGTTCCGGACGGGAGTCAGGACAAGCCTTCAACATAAAACACAAAGAGATACTGTAAGAACTGAGAGCCTCGACCAGGTAGGTTGACGATAAAGTCGCGCTAGTCAAAGAATTGCGGTTCAGGGCATTTTCCAGCGGCGTAGGCACATTTTGGAGTCACATCCAAGGCACCACTACAAAGTCGCGTCACGATGAAAGCAACCTGGAAGTCCCAGAAGGAAGGCACTGGGAGGCTGGAAACACCGCCAAACGGTGCCGAGTTTCCTACATTCCCCCGCTTCCCCTGAGTTCTGCAGCTAGGCAGGAGAAGAATTTTCATCAATCTTTTCGGGTAGACGATCCTTGCGTTTGTGTCGGTGCGCAGCGTCTCGCGTATCTCTTTTTCTTTCTTGATTACCAAACAGCAATTGGAAATTCGGTCTGCATCACCTTGGCGGCCTCGCCGTGACATTCCTCCGTTCACCCTTCATCGCTGTTTAACAAACACACAGAACGACATTTTCAACTGGATGTGATTGATTGACGTGTCTGCATCTTCCTTTAGCCGAGTCAGCCTTGAAAGGTTTAGATGTGGCACGAAGTAACTTGGTTCCATCAGAGGCCAACTCCTTCTTGGCGTGGTGGTTTTTGCAATTCCAACCATTCCCATCCAACGCGAGGACCCGACAGTCTGGGAAGGATTTTTTAGTCTTGATTCATTTTCCGCCCTCGCCTCCCCGATCATTGAGGGCGCCGTGCCGCACAGAAGCCTGCTGGCGAAAGCGCTAATATCAGCAGAATTTGGACACGCTGAATTTTGATATTTTAGTTGCAATATTGGGAGGAAGAATACACATTTGTGTGTCGTGGTGTGTAAAACACGGGGATTCTTGGTATCTAAGATGAGTCACTGCCTGCTTAGCCCCTACCTAGTAGCCGTCGATAGACCTAACCATCATTGCTGTCGGGAGCGGCAGTGATGTACTCGGGAACGGACAGCTCTAGGCCCACCGGAGAGATACGAGCGGGACCTGGGGCCCAGGTCTCTTGTGAGGATTCATATGGTGAGTTGCCAATTTGCCAGGCCAAGCAAATGCATTCCCGGATTTCTAACAGCTAGGTGTTCAATGTAAAGCGTGGTAGTAGCCACGTCATAGAAGCTTGTCGCTCATCTCCGTTCTAATCTCATGTCCTTGGTATGTCGCGTGATGTTTCATGACATGCCATCCTGGAGTAGCCATTGACCGCCAATGTCAGATACTTCTAGTTAGACACCAACACCCAACAGCTCAGCTATGTATCAGTAGCATGGATCTTGTCTACACCTGCTCGGCGCAGACATTTGCCCCGCAGATCGGACAAAAGTACCCGGAAAGTTTTTGTAACCCGGCCCTCGGGTCATCACCTTGACGCGTCAAGACTGAGACTTACCTCTTAGCGCATGTTGATATTGAGACACGCAAACGGGGTGATATTGCCAAGGACAAGACTGCCCGCGTATTCCTCCTTGTAGACCGCTTCTGGCTTGCCCAAGTACCGTAGACAAACTGTGGGTGGCGCTGCCGGCAGCGAAAGATCTCACTTTTCCCAGGACTGGGGACCAATCCCAACAAAGCCCACCCTTCATGATAACCCTTGCAATATAGAGTAGCGTTGTTCCCAGCCAGGTTCTCGTGATAGTAGTGGCTCGATGAGCGGGCTGTCTTCGCCGGGAACGGCTTCCGGCAGCCTCAGCTTCCCTTCTTCATCAAACAATGTATCTCTAACACCGGTCTAAGTTGAAGAATATGAGATATGACCACTTGATGATACTCCAGCAAAAAAAGAAAGCTGAAAGCGTAGCAAACAGATCGTCGGACACGATGGTAAGTACGTATAAATATCGAGAGCTCACGGAGGTGAAGACTCCTCTGAGATACTTGACACCATCAGTCTTCTACCGGCACCAGAACCATTTTCAACATTTCAGCAAAATGCCTTACATCATCGACGGCCCGGGTGACATCCAAGGTTGGTGCAGCCTCACGATGGTAATTATGCCTCGGGCTGATAGTGCTAACGTTTCAACATAGCCACCAGAAACGGGGGACTGTCTTCTCATGCCGACATGGAACAAAATCTTGCTGGAATTGGCTCATGGGTCCCACCCTTGCCCAGAGACATCGTGGGTGAGTTTACATTCACCGTCCAGGCCATTTATTTTGATCTCAACATTGATCTAACGCCATCAAAAGTGGGAACCAATACTGGCAGGCGCCGCCTTATAAGCACGCCTGTTCTGCATCATTCATGTGAAAATCTGGACCATGGACTCCCCTACTTGCTCCACAAGAGTTTCGCTGCAGCTGTTTCATCAACACTGAGTGGACTTTGATACACAATGCGTGCACAAACCGTGGATTGGATCTAGAGGAAATTTACCAGTTCTTCTGGTTCTGGAAGCTGACAGGGAAATTAGAGCAGATTCTGAGGGAGCTTGAACGAAAAGGCTCAACGACGGACGGGATTTCTTCGTGACAGTCCTTGGCTTTCAAGCACACCAATGGGACAGCGGCACAGCGGCTTGGTGGCAACTCCCCGCCACTTTGAGTCTCCAATGTGTTCACAAGGAATAACAGATAGTACAAAAATAGCTTAGTCATCTCAGCACATTTCCAGCAGCTCGCTCGTAACTTCGATGCGACATCTTCACACTTTGGTGCGATCAGGCGAGATGTCTACCTACCTACCTTAGTGTGTGGCACCAGAGGTCACAAATTTTATTCGGTTGCGCAGTGAGCGGCCGACAGAGTCAACAGTGCCTCGGGGTTTGTGGGTGTTGTCACCTAGTTGAAACCAACTTTTGCACAAATGTCACCGCTAGCCGCCGGTTGACTTCACAGTTGGAGGCCACCACTTCAGCGGCCGACGTGCAGACCTCAGCCAGGAAACCAGTCCAAAATCCAGGAAACGTTGATTCGTAATGTGACATAATGTGTTCTTGAGCTGGATATTGCGCTGAGAAAAGATGGGGGTTATCGGGCAATTTTGTGTTAATGATTAGGGTGCTCCTCTCTGCTTTCCTCTTTTCTCTTTCCTGGCCTCTTTCCATTCTGGAAATCCCAAAGTTGGATTCAAGTTTACAAACACACTCTTTTTGCACCGAGGACATTTGCCCCAAGGCTAGTGCTTCCGGCCAATCTCTCTTCCAAAGCTCACACAACAACCCAAAAACTCCAGATTCCAAAAGTCTCTTAGACCTTGGGGACCCCTTTGCTACTCTGCCCGCCCCCCCTCCCTTCTCCATCCTGCTGCTCGCATGGATCCCATCCGTCCCCGTTTGCTCCTAGGTTCTCTCAAACTTCACCTGGACCCTTGTCAAGCCATGCCGCAAACACCGGAGCCGATAGTACTCAGCTGTTGGCAGCTTCACACTCTTCCAGTGTTCTGCAACACCACTGCACTCTTACACCCATCGAGGTGCAGGAAGCTGCCCTCGAGGAGGTGTCCACCCGCTGCACCAACACAACTCTTTCGTGACATTCCCGTCGCAGCCATCCTATCTACACCGCACATTCTTGAAACCTGTCCTCATCTCTCCCCTCCCGATTCAAATCCAAGTCAGGGAACAGGTAGCTTGATGCGAAGTCCAGACCACGGATGGACTACGATGATCATCTGCAAGTGAACTGAACCGGCCGGACAGCAAACTGCAGCCGGACATGACTCCGACCTGGACTGAGACATCACCGCCGGCTCCCAACCATGGAAAGACGCACCTCGACGGATTCGACCAGTCTCCCCGGCAAAGGTACTCGATACATATCCTTCAATACCC